TTAATAATATATAATTCCAGAAAAATGAAGATTCTACTAATTCTTCTTCCATTACTCGTCAACGCTCAATACAGAATTGAAGAAATCACCAACCCGTTGCTACCAATTAAAGAAGGAACAGGTTATGTAATCAACAACCATCATCATGTTTACTATCACGTAAACCTAACAAACATTAGGAACTGTTTAAGGACCACTGAAAAAACACTCATGCAAATAAGTGCAAAATTAACAAATCTTAATTCCACAAATTACAAATTTCTTACAATAAAAACGCAAAACGTATTGGAAGAAATTAAATCCATAAAGTCGTTCACTAAACATTATACAACCCCTGAAAAAAGGATTAAAAGAGGATTGTTAAATATCCTAGGAACAGCCCAAAAATATTTATACGGCACATTAGATGCAAATGATGGCGAAAGATATGATAACTACATCAATTCCTTCATCAGGATATGACCGTGACCCAGACAATAGTAAAAAGATTTTTAAAAGACATTGACTCTCAACTGATGAATATAAACAGCAATCAGCAGAACATTCGAGATCGTATTAACAAGGTTACTGATATGACTCAAACGACATCCACAACAATCCATTTAGTCGTGTTACTAGATAACGTAGAAAATAATATTCGCACAATTAACACAGTTTGCAACAACATACAAACCGCGATAAACTTTGCAGAAATTAATGTATTATACTACAGTATTTTAAAATACCAAGAATTACAGAAAATAGTATTCAAATTAAAACCTGAAACAAGGATAGCTTTTGATAACATAATCAAATTTTATGAAATTGCCCACGCTGACGTGATTATCAAAAATGAATTAATCATCTTTCATATAGCGATTCCTCTAATATCAGGAAAACCCTATATTCTCTATAAACTGTACATAATCCCTTTTGATAATCATATATCAATTCTAAAGAATCCATATTTGCTTAAATCCGCAAATGAATCTTTTAATCTCAAAGACAAGTGTAAAGAAATCGAAAAC